ACCCTGGTGACACCGCGCGGCTTCCGCAATACTGCATGTGATACCTGGACGAATGAAAGGGCACCATGATGAAGCGTGCCATGTTGTAGTACTACACCTGAAGCTGGACTTTCTCTGTAGCCACAAATAACTTATGCATGACATGCCAAAGCCGCCCCGGCGGATAAGTACAGGTTCAGGAACCCGACGGCCAAAATTTTTTTTTCTGCTTGCCTTCCCCCGCGCGAACAAAAACGGATCGTTCGAATCTCTTGCGCGTATCACGTGGACTTGAGAGGAAGTTGTGGTGTCGCCAAAACGGGCGGCGTTCCAAGTGTCCGCTCCCGTACCACCACACTGAGGATGTTTGAATGGATGGGAGAGGGAGACGGAGCAGGCTCTCGGTAACCTTGTCGGGCGGTTTTGCCCCCCGGGTGGCCGCTGATTGTCTGGTGGTGGCCGTCGTCGTCCGCCAGCAGTTTCCGATAATTGCTTGAACATGAAGGTTTGACGGAATACATGTAGGTAAATTACCAAGTGCCCAGAGGCCATGCTGTCCAAAAGTCAGCTGTGGCATTGACATGATCCAGCGACCCCCCTTCCTCGTGATGGACTTTGCAAATGGCATGCTTTCCAAAAACCTGGCATCGGGACCTCGAGCTAGGCCCATCAGGTCACATTCGTCGTAGCGTCGCAACTTTGGCGTCCGTCATGTGAGCCACATGCGAATTGGTGCGTACCGGGCTTGTACCTGAAAAGACTTTAGAGCCGGGAGGAGGGAAGACAAGGAAAAGATGCACATTCTCTTGGCCCAGCCCCAATTGCGTTCCGACTCTCCTGAGCCGCGCTGGGCCGCTACGAAGTTTGAACTGAACTGAACCGATTCAAAGGAACTGGCACCAATGAAGTCCAATCGTGCCTTGACTGTGTCCGGCCGGCTCGGATACAAAGCATTGGCCCAAGGGGAGCAGTCTGCAGTCTGAGCTGGTCGGGAACCAAGCGTCGTGACAGAGCGGCGTGACCCAGCGCCGTGGGGACAGTCGCACTGGACTTCAATGCTCATTGACATCCGGTGCCTGATAAACAACAGGGTGCCAGCCGCGGCGTACTTGGGCGAGTTCCTTCAATCTTTCCGTCCCACTGCTATACTTGGCTGGACGCCAATGGTTGAGACACCAGATTCGACGGAATGTTTTGAGGGCTGAAGCGCTTTTGTAATTCGTCCAGGTCGCACTCGACATCTTCTTGCTAGTTCAACAATCGCCAGTGACCACCAACTCTAGTCTGTATTGTGTCTTGGACTGGTGGTCAGTAGTTGACTCTGTACTCTGTAGCGCGTCAGCCCACTACCAGTCTGGTGTTTTACCATTGACAGCGCTGATGCCACTCTGTCCTCAGCGGGACACCGTGCTGGACGTCATCCAGCAGCGAACATTTAAAGCACTGGTCCAGCTACCTGCCAGCCCGCCATCCACAATCAATCAACCCACCAGACCTGTTGTATCATCAACTGCAGCTAAGCCTCTCATATCACCGATTTCGGCCCCAAGTCTTCTCACATATGACACTCAGTTCGTATCTCAAAACAGGTCCCGGAGGAGCAGTGATATGTCGACGTCTGTTGGAAATAGAAGTCATAGACTCTGATATTTACAGCCAGGGAGCTTGATGGTAGAAGAAGGTTTTCTAGCAACCCGGGGCCGTAAATCTTGCTAATGAATTCGAGTGAAGCATTGCAGATTAAGGTGTTCATTCTTCAAACCTATAACAAGTAGTCATTTTCATTACGCTGTAACAACGTGAATTGCTCGGGGTGCGTTTTCATTTTGCTCGGGGTGCGTTTTGCCCCACTTCACCTACTTTTTTACGGTAAGGCCCGCTGCCACACCCCACAGTACATTTTTAGTATAAACGTATGGCAGCTTCACTTAACACTAAAAAGCTCCAACGAAAATTAACGGATTTTTTAATAAGGCTATAGCTATACGATTTTTTTAACGGTAGCAGCGTTTTTCCTTCTTTAACACTATAATTAATATTATAATAGCTGAAAATCCGGAAAATTCGCCCCTAAATTTACCGCTATTACTAGGTTATAGTAGCTTTAATAACCTTTTTAACGCTATATAGCTATTTAGTTGCTAAAATAGAGTTAAATTTAAAAAAAGGTCCATGAATTTAAATATTATTAACGGTATTTAATAGCCTTATTAAAGCTAGCTTAATTGTGATTACAGTGGGTAATAAAGGCCGCCTTAAGGAGCTAAAATCTAATAGACTCGCTCACGAAAAACTAACTACGTTTACTAGCTTAAGGTAATATCTGCTAATTAATTCGGTTATTAGGTATAGTATTATAAGGAGTAAGGCCGTTATAATCACGATAAATCTAGCAATACCTTCATATATTTAATATATCGTTAATTTATAGAGTAATAAAAATAACAGATATCACGCCTTTTAAAGCATTAAAGCCTATTAGCTTAAGGTATTAGCTTAATTATTTAAGTTAATAAAGAAGAAGAGCTTTATTTTCGTTTAAAAGACATTTATAATTAACGTTAAAGAGCTTATTAAGTGGATTTAACTAGTTATATATTTACCTAATAGTTCGTTAAGGTTCTTAAAGAAAAAGGCCTACCTTATAGAATTAAATTCAATGATAAATATCGTATTAAAAGCGCTATTTAAACCTACCCTTCTTATATTAAAAAATGGAAGGTTTTTTTAGAATTTATTAGGATAAATAACACCTATAAGACTAACTATTAGGGTCTTTATTTATTAAATATTATTACTATTACTAATTAAAAATTAATTATAAATATTACCTTTAGCTTTAGTTAAAGCGAAAAGAAAGAGAGCTACTATTAGATGCTAGCCTTATTAAATGAAATTCACTACGAGCTCTAAATCCCTGCTCTTAAGGTTATTATAATAAACTTTAAAAAAGCATTAAAAAACGCTCTTAAGGTTATTTAACTGGAAATATAATAGTAGCTTTATACGTGGCATATTCGTTAGAATATTAAGGCTAACTTCTTAAAGAAGTAGGTTAAAGCTATTAATAATAATAACGATAATAATAATAATAATAAAGTTAAGGCCTTTAATAATAGCCTACTAGGCGCTTTCCTAGCTTTTATAAAGCTTCTTAATTTAAATATAAGAGATAATTTTAAGGATAACTAGATTTAAATTATTAATACATATAATTTATAGTAACCTATAATCTTAGAATACCTTTATAATATATACCTTAATGTTAAATAATAATAAGCTCATTATTTTATAAAGAAATATCGCAATTTTAGTAAGACTATAAATAGTTTTATAAAGGTAATATATTAAACCTTAAAGCTCTACTTATTTATAAGGACTAGTGATTTTTTATCGCTTATAAACGTAATTAATAAAATGCTTAAGACTTAAGAGCGTAATTATCGCGCTTATACGATTAAAAATAAAGTTAAGTAATAATATTTAATTAATTACAAGAAATAGCTTAATAAGTTACCCGTATAAATTTCCTATAAAGCTATTAACCTTTTAATTAAGTAATATAAGCTTATTTAAGCTTATAAATTTAGAAAGTAAGCTCTTAAATATTATATAAGCTATTTTACTAAGTAATTTAGTTTACCTTATACTTATTATATTTAAAGAAAGAAAACCGTAAAGAAGCTATTAAAAAAGCACGAAATTAAGCGCTATTAGTAGCTATAAAAGCCTTTAATATATCCCTAATATAATTCTTTACTTATTATAATAAAAATTATAATTAACTTTAACCTTTAAAATTTATAATATTAATATCTTTATATTCGTAATTTTACCTCTATTTTAACTTACTAATAGCGAGCTATAATAAATAGTAAAGATACTTAATACTAATCTTTAAGCTAAAATAATAGTTAATAGCTAATTAAAAGACCTTAATTAAGCTAATAAGATTAAAGGCTACTTACCTTAAGTATTTAAAGAGACTATATATAAGTAGAAATTAATATTATTACTAGAAATTAACGCTATATAAGATAAGTAGCCTTAAGGAAATTATTTCTTAAACGTAGTTATTATTATAGCTAACCTTATAGCTTTAATAAATAACCTCTTAGAAGCTTAAGTAACGCTTAAAAAGAGCTTAAAAAAATTAATAGCTTAGAAATATATATATATTTATTAAAAATATTAAAAATCGCGTTTTTAAGCGATTTAAAGCTCACTTAATATAACGTTATTAAGAAATTCGTGTATTTAGTTAATTACTTTAACATTTAATTAAGAGCTATTATAACTATACATTTATACTATAAATATACTATAGGGTATAATAGCGGGTTAGCTAGCTAAATTTAGTTAGTAGTGGGGTAAAACGCACCCTAAGCAAAATTTAAACGCACCCCGAGCAATTCACATTAAAACAATTCGTTACCTCTAGTAGTTAGACAGTAATCTGCCATCAACTGTCGGCCCCATATTAATGCTGAGTGTGATTGGATAAGAGCACGTGATAGTTACTACTTGTTTCTCTGCACATCCACGTTTACGATTTGTTATTTTAAAGTTAGACAAACACCATTCTCCTTCATCCCGCACTTATCCCTAAAGATGAGGGACTTAATTGTTGAGGCAAAAACCCAAGCGGTAATGCAACGCTTTATTACTTCAATAGACGAGCGCGAGATTCTCAAGCTTGCTTCATCGTATCATAATAATGAACCCTGCCAAATATTCCAACCTGTCAAACATGGAAGCTTCAATGTCTGCTTCTTTGTGCAATTCTCGACGCCGGCTTCTGATGGAGTGCCTGAACGATGGGTTGTGAGACTTCCTATTCCTGAATCGATTCCTTGGATAGATGAGAAGATTGACGTGGAGGTCGCCACGATGAAGTGAGTTTTTTGACGGTGGTATGGAAAGGATCTCTCTGACGACAGTGTAGATACGTGGCCGCTAATACCACGATACCTGTCCCTATAATACGGGCGCATTCTTCCGCCAAAAACAGTCCTATTAAAATGGCGTTTATCATTATGGACTATATAGAAGGGAAAAATCTCAGAGAACTCGGCTTTGTGAAGGACTTTGATGTCTGGTGCTCAGTGACCCCACGGCCTACCAGAGCCAGAGAGATAATGTACGAGAAGTTGGCCCAGGTCTATATACAACTGCGACAGCTGGAATTCCCTGAGATCGGCGCTCTTGGCCTTCCAAAAGGGGATGACCAAAGCATCCGGGTTCGCCATCGGCCACTGTGTATCGAAATTCTTCTCCAGGAACACGAGGGTTTAGCGCCTGCTCTAAATTTCCCCGAGCATACAACGTTCAAGACCTCGAAGGAGTATGTGGATGCACTTCTATGGCTGGGAGATAATCTGCTCCACAAGGGCAAGAATACCATGATTGACATCCGTGGTGAGCGAGTTTTATATGCCTCGCACCACTTTAGAAGATTCGTAATGGAGTCATGGCTCGATCCAGCTCAAGATTGCGGTCCATTTGTCTTAGTTCATGGTGACCTAGGCATTCAGAACCTTTTATGGGACGATGACCTCAATCTAGTGGCGGTACTCGACTGGGAATGGAGCAGCGTTATGCCACTGCAGTTCCTCGTCCCCCCTCCCTGGTTGAACGGTCAAACCATCGGTGCTCTGTGCCACGGCCAGCTACTCTATAACAGCCAAGTTGGCATCTTCTGTGATATAGTGCGGCATCAGGAGAAAGTTTTAGGATGTTCTCCTTTACTTTCTGACGAGTGGGATAGACGGAAAGACTGGTGTCATACATTAGTAGTATGTGCCCTACTCCGCCCGGAGTATGTATTTGATGTCTACTGGTCCTTTATTAGCTACACTGTCGTTGGATTCCAACCGCTTACATCGGAACAAATAAAGAAGTACAAGAAAATCACTTCACAACAACTCGCTCTATTCATGGAGAATGATGATAGAAAAGCATTCTTTTTGAGGAAGAAGGAGGAGCAGAAGGTATATTACGAGGAAGAAGAGTGTCATTTTGGGCCTTTGCTCGACTGTTAAGATACGAGGCCCCGTCATTTGTCGAAATACATTCATATCGGGGATCCTTTCTCCCAAACTCTGCAATGTGATGCCGCGTCTCTTAGCGGTCGCTTTCCCATGCGTAACAACCGGGTCGAACGGGTGAGAACAAGCATCTATAGCGCCCTGCTTCCCTAATCCACTTAATGGCCTCAACCACAAACTCTCAAACCACATCTTGTTCGTTTCAAACATACTAGCCAGCGCTGGTAGACCTCCGTACTCTATACGGTATGTCTGACAGCATATCCATGTGCTTCTGAGCACCAGGCAAATGAGGAGGTTCTTGTCCACCTGCAGCGTTGTATACTTCATTTTTATATGCACTTAGGGGTTGCCGTACTGAGACTGAGACCTCCGACGTCGCAAGTACTGGCAGAGTCGGTTTCGTTGCCATGCCCGTGAGCGCTGTGGCTCCCATCGTCACTAGCATCGCCAACACTGCCACCTAGTGTCTTCCCTTGTTCTTCTGCTGCATGATGTTCCAATGTTGCCTTACACCGTTCTCTGTGCGATTCAATGTCCTTGCGATCTCCAAGTCCAATGGGCTGCCGATCCTCTTCTGTAATCTCTTGAATTGCTGAAGGCGCTCCTCTTCTACTTTTATCCACCTGCGACGTTGCGTACTTTTGTGCTGGAGATCTCGCGACTGTGAGTTGGTAAGCTCGGCTTTGCTCTCAGTATCGTCAGTGCTGGAACGGGTGCTTGAGCTATTAATCGCTACTGTCATCACCTACACCGTCCACGGCCACCTCACTAGTTTCAGACCCAGATTAGACGCCGATGTCTGGTATCAGGCCCATGTAATTTGGCTAAGCGTGTCTACCGTGCTTGACATTGACTTCAGGGCGTTGCGTAGTGAGGAAATAGTTTCTTCACATGCATTTCAATGCAAGTTTGGGTCGCTTCACTGACTGGTAGGCTTCTAACTGAGATGGCTTTGAGGGCGTCTCTTTCAGAAAACGATCGTTTAGTCGATGAGGATATGAGCGCGTGCGAGCTAGGCTCCGTCGTGATGCTAGGCTGTAGGGCCTACACAGTCACGTCTGAGGCACCATATCACTATTGCTACGCTAGCACCTTCTAGCTAGCTCTTTTCTTTACACACATGACCAAGCTTTCAACTTCTTTTAGCTATGCCTCTTGCAATACAACTTATCAGTTGCATTACGAGCTCTTGTGACCTCGCTGTAGCTCTCTTTCACGGTCCCTCACATAGGCTCTGTCGTGCTAGGTTAGAGCTCTTATAAATATAGTAAATACAATTGTATTTTGTATTGTATTTTATATTATATTACATTTAAATATATTATATTATGAGATTAAAATACTTGTAAATGTATTATTAATAAATAAACCCCTTAATTTTTTTACTTATAATTATAAGGCTAAGTATAAGGCTTATAATAGATATTTATTTTAATTTAGTAAAGTTAATTTAAACTTAATAAAAACTTTTAGCTTAATCCCCTAAAAAATTAATTAACTTATAATTTTAATTACGTGATTTTAAGGGTAAAATTAAGCTAAATTTACTTAATAAATTAGCTAATAACTTTAAAGCTTAAAAAAAAGAAAAATAAAGTTAATACGTATTATAATTATAGTATAATATAAGCTAATTTTATAAGATAATTAATAGTTAATTATAAAATAATATTAATATAAATAAAGGTTAAAAGATATTAATTAAAACAATTTATATATTATAAAAGAAAATTTAAGAAAAATTTAAGAAAATATATTTAGGCTTTTTATTTTATTAGGTGATTAATTAATTATTTAAAGGTAACTAGTAATTTAATAATATTTTTTCCTTTAATAATAAGTGTAAAATTAGTAATTATTAGCATAAAATACTATTAAGTATAATATAAATAAGTAAGATATTATTTTTAAAATTAAAAAAAAATTTAATACTAGTACTTATAAAGCCTCTAATTTATAATATAACAGGAACTTTTATATGCCATGTGACTTGTCCCTTAGTCTGTGTTCAGAGCTAACATTATTCACTTTGAACAGGCCCGCTGACTTAGCGGTGCTTGGTGTCTACCATTTAGCGTCACCCAGCAACAACGGTATCATACCTGCACACAACAGAATCCTGTGGTAACAACATCACCGAATATGGCTCAACCAAAGAGTCAGGTAACGGTCCGTAGCCGTTACGCCGAGCCGGCGCATCCCGAATCTCTACCTGGTAGCCAGACCGACGATATACCCAAGATTCGCTTTCGCCACCCCGCATATGCGGATAGTGAAAACATCCTCATTTCGCTGGCGGCGCTGGATGGGGGTGGTGTTCATTACGCAACGGCACATCTCGCCTGCGCTGTTCTGGCAGATTTCCGATATGAGGGTTTCTTTTCTTTGTCATCTACCGGCACTGCGATCGAATTCGGGCCGGACGAAATCTTGACAGAGCAAAACTACTACTTCCACGTACCACAAGTTCAAAAATATGACGTTGTCGCCGATTTTGCTAGTTGCATCTTCCCCCATGGAAGAATGCCGCCAACGTGGTCATCTGAAGGCCTTAAAATCCCCAAGGCCATCGGCCTGCCTCGAGAAACAACCTGCAATAGCATAGTTTTGACCCGAGATGTTTCTTGTCGAGTTACCAACAGTACTCTAGGTACAGAGGGAGCCCATCTACTTCCCAAGTCGGAGGAATTGTGGTATACAAAAAATTCCATGTTTCAGTACTCGGCATGGGAAGAGAGGGGGACAACAGATGACCCGAGAAACGCGATTCTTTTGCGATTGGACGCTCATACAATCTTTGATGCGAAACGGTTTATGATCGTGCCAAAGAAGGGCAGGTGGGTAACTCACGTCTTGTACGGAGCAGCACAGGACGAACTTGCTCGAAGCTTTCATAATGTACATATGCAACCCCTTACCGACATTGCGGTAGAATATATTTTTGCGCGGTTTGCGTACACAATCCACGCCCTCAGCACCTTTACCCTCTCCGGCGGCAAACGTGCACTCCTTATCCTGAAAGCAGGGGAAACGAGTCGGCACCGCGTCGAGGTAACCGGCTTGCAGTATAAAACACAACTCGCCCTACGATCAAGGGTTGCCAGCAGGACTCCAAGCCCCAGCAAGCGCCGACGCGACGATACACCCGCAGCCGATGCAGACACATCGAATTTTGACGGGATGGACGATGGCGATCATGAGTTCAGGGGTCGTCCACGAAGAAGACTATCTTACGAGACTACCTGTTCACCCTCATTGTGCCACGAGTTTTGCACGTCAATGTCCAGCTCAATACCAACACTCACCAGGGGCCCCAGCGATTCGGGTAGCGAACTTGCAGAAACCGTCAAGAAGCCACTGCCCAGTGACAGTGCGCTACCGCTGAGCAAAGCCTCACATGATGAGTGCGTCGGCGTAGCTGAAGCTATGCACTCTATGTGCAAGTCCGAAGCTTACGACTGATTTAGTTGGTGAACAAGGTTCGTTCCCACGCGAGTGTCTGAGTTCACTTGGGAGCTATGTCAACCGACCTGGCATAAACCGGAAACTGCTTCTTGCTGCTTGAGATCAGCACAACTAAGGACTCCCATATTGGCGCAAATGGGTCTCCTTATATCGACGACCTCGAACTGTGGTATTTTGTTTTTGTACGTGAACGCTGTTGTTTGCGCGTATCGATGGCGCTGCCTCTTCCACACAGCGACACGCGAAGGCGGCTCGTAAAGTGCATAGGCTTAGCAGATTTGAAGCCTCGCTATCTTCAATTCCGTGTCTGGTGAGATATTTCTTCACAAGTCGTGACAGAGTCCTCCAGAAGCGAGAGCTTAACACAACCGGGCAGAAAAACGCCACGTCAAATCCAACCGGGCGTTTGGTTTATCATCTGCTAGGAGGAAGGGGCGAATGATAAAGGAAAACTTTGCCTATGGTTAAAGTGACCTGGATATAATGTAGTTAGTCTAGAGCATAGCGTTCCTCTTAAAACCAAATACCCATGACATTTTGTGAGACAACTAAGCATGGAGTAAGTGCTCATCTAGATTTTAGAACTCAGAGCAGGTAAACGCGACCGGTATCCAAATAGATGCCGCGTATAGGTGACGCCAGAATCTCTGCGGGCTTGAGGGCGGCCGGGCTAGTGGATGTGTCCACGGGATAGTTACCCGGATATCCGGGATTCATCGCCCTGGCCCAATTTGGTGTCAATTGCTCGGGGCGCTCATCCATTTTACTCGGGGCGCTGACGCCCCAATTTTTCTGCGGTCAACCCCGCTGCCAGACCCCATAGTACATTCTCAGTAAAAATGCATGGCAGCTTTACTCAACACTAAAAAGCTCTATTAAAAATTAACGGATTTTTTAATAAAGGTGCAGCCGTATGAATTTTTCAGCGGGCAGCAGCGTTTTTCCTGCTTTAACACCACCTCGGCCTGAAAGTGTACAGCGGCTTAAAAAAAATCATGTAAATTACACAAGCACCTTATCATTTAATTGAGGGCATTTACTGCCATGCATTTGAACTGAAAATGTACTGTGGGGTCTGGAATCGGGGCCGCTAGACCAAAATTGGGGCGTGGTGGGGTATTGAGCGCCCCGAGTAACGCGGATGCTCTCCAGCGTGGACACGACCGTCTCCATGATGTCGGCGGCCTAGCGGCTCGACACATGCTCCCCTACGCGCAGGCACATGTCGACCGTGTCCCTGTAGCGCTTGCCGACCTTGTCCCTCCACCGCTCGGGCGACTAGTGCGGCTTGTGGTACGTCTGGAGGACCTTGCGCAGGCCGATCTCGAGGAGCACCAGGCCCAGCGAGTAGACGTCAAAGGCCTTGCAGTAGCCCATGCCGCGCAGCGAGGCCGGGTGGCGGTGGAGGTCCTCGATGGACGGGTTCCGGGCCACCAAGTCGAGCTTGTACTTTGGCTCTTCGGGCCAATAGTAGATCTAGAAGTCGAGTGTCATGATGGCGCGTTGCAAAATAAAATGCCGTACACCCCTCAGCATTTGTTGCATCTTTATTTGCTCCTTTATCTAGAAGCATCTTAGCAATATCAACGAACTCAGCAATCGATGCTTGTATAAAGGCCGAGTTAAGCTCGCACCAAGCTTGCCCACTCATCAGAGCCATTGCCGCGGCTTTCTGGCCAAATAAGCACGCCAAATCAAGAGCTGATAGTCCCCTGTGCTTTTTAACATTGTTCTCCGAATTGTGCCTCGACGGTTTTTGTGATAGTGCGTACTTGTCCTCGGCGAGCTGCAAGATGGATCGGGCTGTTTCCCTCCTTATCCACGAGCTTCAATCCTGCCTTATTGCTAATCAGCAGATCCAGTATGTCATCGAAGCCGAACTTGGCGGCAATATGTAAGCAGTTCCCCAGGGACCAACTAAATCCACGCGGGCCCCTTAATAGAGCAGAGCATCAACTATCGATGGATAGTTGGATGAGGGGTTATCCACATCTCTAACACTTACATCAAATCCGGCTTTGTTCTGTCCTGCTTCTCATCTCCCGCTGGCTCTGTGTGCGCAGCCTTCGCGTGGCTCAGGAGAACAAGTGCGATTTCAGGGTGGCCACTTTCCAGAGAAACATGCAGCAGTGTCTGGCCCTTCTTGTTTGTAGAACAGATGAGCGCCCCTTTCCAGAGGAGAAGTTGGACGGTTTCACATCGACCACTTGCGGCCGCTTCGTGCAACGCGGTTTGGCCTTCGTTGTCAGCCATGGATATGGCGGCATCCGCATCAAGAAGCCGCCGAACAATCTTAAAGTGACCATTCCTAGCAGCGAGCGGCAAGGGCGTGGCTAATGAAGCGTCTTGGGCGTTGATGGTTCTGGCCACGTCGGTACAGGAGGCAATGATCCATGTGACCAGAGTTTCATTCCCTAATATAGCTGCCAAATGCAAAGCACATCTAGCGTTGTGCATCTTGTCCGTTTGGCAGATGTATTCCTTCTGGATGTCTAGAATTGGCTGTGGCCGCACGAACCAGCCGCTTGCCGCTATCAGAAGGAGAGGCATCTGATCGTCCCCAACACCGGCTTCACTCTGATATTCGACTTTGTTTGTGAGGCGCTCTACCAGCGAGGTACTTCCCCGACGCACGGCATTGTGAAGAATATCAAGACTATGAGCCTGAACAAAGTCACTGTGACTTTGGCAAACTTGCAAGAGTGCTTCACCGCATCCTGTCTCGAACATTTGCTGCAATGTTGCCTCGTGGGATAGATATCCCCTCCTATGCATTGTGGATAGGACCTCGATGTCACCAATCTGGCAAACCGCCAGTGCAACAGCACACCAGCCGAGCACACCAGCCGATGCACCGTGAACACCTCTCGACTTCGCTAGCCTTGAGGAGCAGGTCTACGGCCTTGGACGTCGACACGTTGAGTTCTTGCTTGACTTCACTAAGTTTTGGGCATTTTGGATAACGCCAGTACATCGAATCTTGGGATTTGTAATAGTTACGCAGCTGCAGCCAGAGAAACACGCGCCAGTCAGCATCGAGAAAAGTTGACACCGGCTCCATGTCGACGGCTGAATCGTCACCGGGTTGCTGCATGTGGACGAACCAGTGTTGAACTGCGTAGCGTAGGAGAGGCGCGTTCTGGACTTTTGGTGAGGTCAAATCTACGCTGGTCCAAAAATCCAGTGATTGTAGTTGAATATGGTGTGGCGTGCGATACAGTATTATTTGATACTATATCGTATGACTCGCTCCGATTGGTAGGACTCGGCGCCTCCATGTACTTTAAGAGATGGTTTGCGCAGAATTTAGCAATTTCGAGGTGAGCAATATGTGTTTTTCCTATAATGGTCATCCTCGTCTTTGAATCCGCCGGCCATCGTGACCGAGCAGCTTGGAAGGAGGGCACACTTTGGAAAAACAAAGCCGCCTTTGATTTCAATGATTCCAGGCAAGAATTCGTCAAAAGCAATGGCAGGCACTTCCTGGAGAGCAGGTTCGTCAGCTTCCTCTAGGTCCAGTCTCAAGACTTCCCCGAGCTATTCCAAACTGAGTGAGCGAATGGCATTGAAGACCCAGAAAAGTCCTCTCCGTATTATCGCCTGAAAGAATGTAGATGCTCGAGCGACGAGTGTAGGAATGGCCTCTTGACCACCATGTATCAAGCAGTGGCCCACGGAGTGCAAGGAAAAGAGAAGGCTATCAAGTGGACACCGATCCAGGAAGCTAAGGAGGGAGCGGGTTGGCGAACTACTACTTTGTAGTTGATGAGAGATGCTATTCGACCCGTTGTTCCTCCAACAGACGGCGGAATGCATTCTTTGCGCAGTCGTAGTGACCTCGATTTCATGGTCTCGTCGAATCGCGGCAACCCGTCGCGTCCGGATCGTGGAGGTCGATAACCCACCTCCCGTATTCGCAATGGTTGCCATCGTTGTGGCCCGACTTTTGCAACATCAGGAGCTTGCAAGCTGTTTCTGTGGCTAGAAACAGATTGCAAATGCTGGTGCACATCTCCATAAATGGCGCAGCGAGACCGGACTTGTCCGGCTCATGGATTATGACTAAAACCTTGCCAGAATGTTGATTATTAACAAGACATTTTAGACGTCTCCATAGCACATTCTCTGTCCATGCCGTGTTGTGGCTGCCGAGAGCCTTCTGGGCTTCTTCCGAAAGACGATGAATACAGGTCACTAATCGGGGCCGGGACAAGACAACCTGTTGACATGCGTCAGCCAGCAGTTGCACTTTCGTCAAGGGTCTAGACAGTCATCCTGCAGGCTGCACCAGAGTGATGAATAAATCTGTGAGGTTTTGTCTTTTGTCTTTGATGGCAGCCATGAGAGAGCTCGTAAGGACAGTCGAGAAATTATGGGCGGCCCCTACGGCCAGCACGCGTACCGAAGCTTCCAGGAAACTGGGGGGACAAGGATGAGTGCCTCCCTGGCATGGGTCGGTATCATTCCTCTGCCGGCTGTATAGCCCTCTCCGGGTAATTGCATAGCATATCCAGTCGCCGAATCCATGTTGGGTAAGAAACCAATCGCACAGATGTTTGAGGCGATGATCCGAGACCCGGTGAAATGACACATATGTGGTATGTGATGAAAGCAGATTAATCCATGTGGTATACTCGTTTCGTGTATCTGTTCGGAGAATCGGATAGGATACATTAGCATAATTAGCTCATACAATTCGCTTTGTAAGGTCAAACGAGACATAAATTCTCATAATAGTAGGCACCTTACGTATATACGCATCCTCAACCACATTCTCCAAGTATCTCTATTGTTCGGCCAGAAGGTCATGCCCTGTTTGCAAACCAGTGCGGGTCTCTTTGTCCAGATCCAGGGTGGCAGCGTGTCTTACAATCAACTACACATATACAGTACACGTCAGCGGCCCGGAACTCAATGCCATGGTATATACCCAGTATAAGTAGCTGAGAGTGCTCACCACGTCATGGGACCCAGTGTCAGTTCTTTCTTGGAAGAGGCTAGTGATGGAGAAACGAGGTGCAATCCTGTCGAAATCTGCCGCAAGATTCTCGTGACGGGTGGCCAGATTGCGAATACCATCAGGTATCCAAGGTCCCTGACGAGACCCGCGGAGCCGGTTATGAACCAATTTCGCGAGAGTGGAGTCTCGTGAACCGTTCAAGGGGCTCTGTGCGGAGTGCCAAAAAACATCTACTCTTTGGTGAGCGACCTGATAAAGCCAGGCGGAAGTCCCCGGCAATGCCGATAAAATCGATACAGGGTAACGAACCAAGGCACCCGTAGCATTCAAGACCAATGAGTACTTAGGGTTATCAGCTGGTATGATAAGAGCCTATACGTTGATACGAGCAATAAAAAGCATCAGAATGTAGGACTGGTGTAAGCACGCTGGGTTGAAACTTGACGCACCTGCTTCTCAACTGACCCGCCAAGGCCACAGGCCAAGAAAATGATTCTCTGTGAAGTAGACTATCTGGGTATCAGATTATGGCGCATGTTGGTCAGTTTGAGGACTACCAGGGTTTACCGAGCACATGGCTTCCTGGGCCTTCTCCAGTAACCTCTTGGCAGCATTTTCAATTCCATCTATTGCCACAGATTTCCCAACAATAGCGTCAATCTCTTCGGGTTGAAATCGATGGACTATGGTCTTGACATAATCAGAGAGACTAAGGGTTAACCGCGAGTCGGCAATGCTGTCTCCATCAAGGTCATGAACGCCAAAAAGGTTGCGTAAACAAAAGGAGTCAGCGTCCTCGAGTTTTCCCACTAAAAGTCGGGCTAGATTCAAAACCCTACACCACAGTGCAGTTCACACTGATTTTCTCATTCCCGGGGATGGAATCGACAAAGGGAGGAGATCGAGGCGGTTCGACAAAGTCACTGGGATAAAGCCAGTCCATAAAATCGTAGAGAGGGTCCTGGCCTATCCAGGAAATATGAGACTCCATGGTTACGATGGTTTGCGAGACTATAACGGTTAAAGAGATTCAAGTTCAAGAAATAAAAACGTTACTGGGGAAGCGCAAAACTGCAGTCCGATCTGGTCAGACGGAGCCCGACTCCAAGCAAGTGGACGCAATGTGAGCGCTGGTCAAAGGTGTGTGTCAGAGCACCCACCAGGTCAATTGCTCGGGGCGCTCATCCATTTTACTCGGGGCGCTGACGCCCCAATTTTTCTGCGGTCAACCCCGCTGCCAGACCTCATAGTACATTCTCAGTAAAAATGCATGGCAGCTTTACTTAACACTAAAAAGCTCTATTAAGAATTAACGGATTTTTTAATAAAGGTGCAGCCGTGTGAATTTTTCAGCGGCCAGCAGCGTTTTTCCTTCTTTAACACCACCTCGGCCTAAAAGTGTACAGCGGCTTAAAAAAATCATGTAAATTACACAAGCACCTTATTATTTAATTAAGGGCATTTACTGCCATGCATTTGAACTAAAAATGTACTATAGGGTCTGGAATCGGGGCCGCTAGACCAAAATTGGGGCGTGGTGGGGTATTGAGCGCCCCGAGTAAAATGGATGAGCGCCCCGAGCAATTGACAATTTGGTGGGAGGCTAATACTTGTAACTTGGAAAAACTTCGTAAAATATAGCCATGGGTACTGTATATATATCATTGTTTTGCATAATAAATTTTTGCAATATTTCGACCAATATAAGATAAGAAGTATTAATACATATAGGGCTAAAGCTTCGTTATAAGATTTAAAGATACGACTAAGCTAGAGCTTTAAAAGTATTATATTTTTATATTTTTTACTTATATCTTAAAATAAAAAGTAAGTAAATTAAAGTAAACTTTTTATTACTTATAACCTTTTAATATAATAACTTATAATAATAAAAAGTAGTATATTTTAAAGAGTAAATT